ACTCGGATCAAAAACATTCGACTCCTGGGCACAAGGACGTCATTGTGCGTGCCTGCGTGCGAAATCGGTGCTGGATCTTGGTAGAGGGCGGGCCAAACGGCCACACGTCTGCGCTGGAGGGTTCATTTGAGGATTTCTGAGGATGAGCACTCCGCCTTTTGCGTCAGTTCACTGGTGATCTGATCTGTAGGAGGGCTGGTCATGGACCGTAGCTGTGGAAGCTACCATGCACGGGTGATGCAAAGGGGTTCAAGATCTGCCAGATGCCAGACAGCATGCAGGGTGCAGAAAAGAATGGAGTAGGCAGTATTCCCCGTCATTGGCGAGACCCCCACATCAAGAGCAAGGCATCTCTCGACAGTTTGTGTTGTGGTTCTTCTTGACTTGCCTAAGCCCACATATGCACCTCCGCAGCTTCTTTCATCTTGGCGAAGTCACGTCGCGGACACTTCGCGCCGGATCAGTTTTTGCAGAACCTCTCGCCAAAGCCCGCATCACGAGCACGTCGTACAAGTGCATGCATGTGCATGATGCCCATGGATGCTCATCCCACGTTGTCATGTCCCGGCAGTCGTGAACACGGTGATGCAGAACTGTCCATGAGACTCGGCAATCGGCATGCAGACGAGCCAAAAGTGCGCGCGATGCGGCCCCGTAGCTTGCAAACGCCTGTTCCATGACTCCATCATTCCATCCTAGAAGTCACTGACATGTAGCTCAGCTGTGCTTCGCTGTCGGAGACCAGCAATCTGAGTGTGACAATCTGCTTGTTTGTTGCAGAAGTTGCCACGAGACGCGCAGAAAAAGCCACCACGCCACCCCGACATCCCTGAATCGGACTCAGGCGGTCTTCTGCTGCTGAAGCAGGCCGCGGAGCGCTGCAACGAGCGGCCCACGGTTTTGGTGCTGGCGTCTCGAGCCCATCAGGAAATGGGATTCAGGGTCCAAACCGCTTTTCTGGATCCATGTGGCGAGTGTTTCCGAAGATAAGTATGAAGGATGCTTCCTTCGGCATCCCTACATGGCATGCAGCCTTGATACACCCTGCACCCTGCTCCTGCTTGCAGTTTGAAGTATGCGGGTCCCTACTCAGATATGTTGACACCAGGTTCCCCGTCAGAAGCTTACTGCACGGGCTCTTGGCTGATAGGCTTGGTAAACAACACCATGTCATGGGCTTCACCAGCAAGCTCCGTGTGGCTTTGACTTTTAAGTTCGTGGGAAAAAAGAGCTTGCAGGAGATAAAATTAGCGTTTGGTGAACTGGGCCTGAGTGCTGGTGAGGGCTGAGGAGTCTGCCCAAATTCCTAGGGCCTAGGGTGCGGACTATTCTGAAGAAACCTAGATACACAAACCCGCATATATACTCCTGGATTCCCATAGGGCAGCCGACTGGTGACATTGAGGTAAGCAATGCTGAAGAAGCCATACCAACCCCGCCGACACGATCGAGACCACGTCTTCCCGACCCCCTACAGACTTTCATGCAGCTAACGTAAACAAGGCAGCCAACCCGGTAACCCTGATGTCCGTAGGCTCGAGCATGCAGTTGGCCAAGGACAGCCTCAAGAAGAAGCGCTATCCGCAGCTTAGATGAAGTGTGTCCACAGGCCGTAGATTGGATGTCCTCGAGGTATCTTTTAAATGCTCTGCAGCCTGGAGATCTTGTACAGTAGCACATGGGCTGAGAAGAACCGGGGTGGTTACAAGTCCCGTGCAGACCTGCTCCTTGGCTTTTTGGCCAGCTCTGCACCCATCCACGTTGAAGCACTTGTGACATAATCCAGTCTATCCTAACCATGCTGCTGATGATCGAAGAGGGAAGATGGAGCAGATGTATTGCACGGATATAAGAAATAGCGAGCAGGGGCCGCACATCCCAGATCGGATGTGATCCGGGATCCAGGAGTTCAGTTCAAGGCCAGCTTGGCACGTGGGCTGTGCTGAGTACAGGACCTCGAGCATAACGAACTGCTACTTTTAACTGGCAACTGGACACCCAATCCGAAACAAGCAAAAGAGTTCCAAGACCTTGTAAGCGTCCGGTCCTTACCAAGCCGAAGTCTGGTCGCGAAACTGTCAGCCTCAGATATCTGAAGCTCCCAATTGAAGACCATGGCCACTCCAATCCGCACCCACGGGTCAAGGTATAGAGAAGTCAAGACATTTATCGAGGCCGAGATGACTCTAAAGCATTTCAGGAATCAGGTTCATGTTGGTTTTGGGTCACGAATTTGTCAACACTACAGGTTATCCCGGGCTCTGGGTTCAGGGCTGCCGTGATCTACGGTTTGCAGTCCATGCGGCCTGGAGATCATGAAGGGCTGAAGGTTTGCAGTGTTGGTGGTTTTGGCTCGCTCCGCGGTTTCATGACAGAGTTGCACGCAGTTGATAGGATCCGATCCTCAATTTCTGCTGTGGCACGCTCGCTTTAGCAGTCTCGGTCAAGTTGACTTCAGGGGTGCACGAGTCTACAGAAGTCCTTGTTTATGCGAAAGACAGGCCAGCTTGCGAAATACTTGGGAATTCGGGGTCTTTGGCAGTGTCTTGCGGCACAGCAACAGGGGGATAGTGTCTCGTCCATCATGCTAAGCTCAGACTATCAAGCCTGGTCTATTCAAAGCTGCTTCGGGGCTCTCTACACTCTTCTCTCGTCTTGAATGTGGGCCGCTCCAGGAGATCAGACTATCATTGCCTTGTTTCATTGCTTCGCTCGTGTGTCATTGCATTTTCAGAACAGCGGGACACATCACTGTGTGCGTTTTGCCACTCGGCTGCTTGGGAAGGAAGAAAAGGAACTGCAGAGCAAGTTGAAGGCAGGCCGGGGGTTTCATCGAGCACCCAAACCCTGCACTAGAAACCTACGCCTCGGATGAGTTGGATTCTGGCTATGGTTTGTGGGCACCACATCCGCATCCTAAGATGGTATCCTATTCTAATCCCCTTTGGTAGGCCTTGCGACTTTGTTGTTCAATGCTGTTCGCTTTTTCTGCGAGCTGCCTCTCTGAATGGCAGGGCAGGAATGCTGCTTGGTGCGACCCTAGCATGATTAACTGATTAACTCTATTAGAAGGAAGAGGCTTCTGTTCAAAATGGCATCCTTTGACCTATCTCTGATGTTTCAGGGTTGGAACAGAGCGTTCGCGTGGTGGGTATGCCGGGCGAGCAGAGCTCGCGCACGCTGTGAGCGTTGCCAGGGCTTTGCGCGCAGAAGCTGCAACAATTGCTGATGCCTCAATGCTGGCACGGCTCGAGCATCGACAAAGTCAGACGCAGCAGAGTTGTCGTGTGCTGTGTCGACAAGTAGAGGCATGACTCCGGTCAGCACGACAACTCCAAATCAAGTGCGACAGGTTCTCACCTGTACAGGCGGCAGCCAACTGAGGAGGAAGTCTTGCAGACCTTGTCCCCACTGGGAAGCTGTCGCAAACGAGGAGTGGAGCGGCGGCAGTTGATGACCGCCAGTAGCGGTCCAAAAAGCATTTCTGGTTGGCTCCGGGGCTCAACAGTTTTTTGCGCCAGCCCTGAGGTGCAAACGCTAGAGCAGCTCGCTCTGCGTGGTGCCAAGCCAGACAAGGTGCTCCGGTTTGAATGCGGAGTGCACGGAGGTATTGCTATGAACTTCGAATCGTTTAGGCAGGCTTTGCGGATCGCAGATGTACAGAGGTTGGCATTAGCATATTGAGGTTTGGGGTTCCAGTAAAGCCAGATGGGAAGCACGTGTCTGTGTGCAAGAATCCACTATATAATCCTAGCAGTCTAGAGCAACGAAGATCCATCAGACATTCCTTTGTGCGACCAGGCCAGTCCTGTGTATTGAGCCAGTGCCATTAGCCATCATCACCAAGGCATCGTGAAAAGTAGGTGCATTCTTGGGCTGGTTACGTTTAACACAGTCCCTTGATCTTGACTTTAGTCGAGAAAGAGTAACCATCCACGGCAGCACTCGCAAAGCGATCAAAAACCATTTACAAAGCAACATTGCCTCAGGGCCGGTTTTGGTTCGACTCGGATCACATTCCGGTCATTGCAAAAGGTGGAGGCGCACTGCACTCTACAAACCAATCGCGGGCAGTCGGGTTCAGATTCATTCGAAATTGAATCCGAGATCTTCAGTCGCTGCTATCCACAGAACACATCCATTCAACATTTCAATCACGTCTTCACTTCACCAAAACATGCGGCATTCGCTGCAGCACTCCTAAATTCATTCTGCGCTCACTCGGCGGCCTCACTTCATGCCCTTGGCATTCCTGCGGAGCACAATCTCTGCACCAGGCTGCAGTGCATTGGCGACCTGGGCGATGGCAGTCGCAGAGAAGGGCGACCATTCGAACCATTCGGCTCATTCGGCTCGCCATCGTCATCCTCATACAAATCATCCCAGGCAGAGTCCACCGCCATAGCTTTGCACCAGTGGCACAAAGGTGTGGCCCATTAGCCTCCATTCCAAGAGGCCAGTCCCATTCAAGGTTGCCCTGCAGAACCATTCGATGGCCTCATCCAGGCACAGCAAACACTTCGGCGAGAACACAGTCATGTTGTCATCCAAAGGCACTCGGAGGATGCCCATGCTGGCAATCGACTCCGCCGGCAGTGTCCAAATCCATGTGTTGCCATTCTGACCATTCGCCTCAAAAGTGAGTTTCGTCACGAACCAGTCAGTTCCGAGGGATGTCCTTGAACCTGAGGGCCGCGCCTTTCCACTTGTCCTCAAGCTCCGACTTGGGTGGCTCAGAGGGTTTGTTCTTGCCCTTGCCTTTCCTTTTCCTTTCTCCTTACGATTCTTTCCAGCTCCGCTGAAGCGCACTTCCTTCTCAGAATCCCAGCTGCCCTTCGGAATCCCCGCCGGCCCATCCATGGTGGATAGTTGAACTCCAGGAACGGTGCTCCAGCCATCTACTTTGGAGCCCTTGCCTTTCCCTTTGTTTGTCCTTGGCTCGTCCTTCTGCTTGTGACTGTACTCGCACTGGTCACCCTTCAGGCAACCCCTCTTCGAGTTCAGGACACGGCAAGGGAGGCTCTTCTCAGCTCCTTTCCCTCGGCTCGGAGGCCGGCTCGGGCGCCGACGATCGCCAGAGCCAGCGGCTCTGACGAACGTATTACGGCCCCGCTCCTCTTCCTTTTTCGCATTTCTGGCTGCCCCCACCAGCCTCTTCTCATGCGAGAACCGTCATTTATCGCCATGCTTACAAGACCCATGGTCTCGCATATCAAAGCATCCTTTCCGCCTAGTGGTTGAGGGGTTCTGAGCTTGTACGGCGTCAAGCTGCTCACGGTCCATTTTCCCGGCCTTCGCCAACAACTTTTTCTGCTTCGCTGACAACCCCGTGCCTGGGGACACATTAGCATCCTCCAGGCCACGAAAGGTAGGGAAACTCGTGTTCTGCAGTGCCTTCAGCCCGGCTTTCATAGATTCGTATTCCTTGAGCACTTCGTGAGCTTCCTCCCAGGTAGCACAGCTCCGAAAAGAGGTGCCCCCAGCCCGTCGCTCCGGTACCTTTTGTCCCGCCGAATCTCATTCGAGAGCTCCGGGCCTACTGTCTTAAGATACTGCAACAGGGTCTCACGAGCCGTCATTCCCACGGCTTCGCGCTCAGACAGCCGCTTCCCCCACGCAGTCTCCCACTGGTGGGCGGTCAGCCGTCCCTTGGACAATTGGTCCCTAGCCTCCAAAACCTGCAACCCGCGTTCCTCCTGAGTTTCCGAGAACAGCTGGTGTTTCGTCTTGATCTCCTGATAAACCTTCCCAGGGTCCGACTTCACTGTTCCGTTGCTCGGACCTCGCTTGTACAGCAGGTCGTAGGACTTCAAACGATGTTGTCGCAGACATGCCCGGAGGGTGATCAGAACTTCCAGGTCTGACATACCCTGCCCATCATTTGCTAGATGAACCGTCGACTCAAATTGGTCACAAAAGTCCATCACCGACTTATGGTCAGTGGAGTCATCATCCAGCACGGGCCAGGTAACCTTGGGCGAGATCTGGATGGTCGACCGAGGCTTGTCTCTTTTCCGGGACTTCTGCAGAGCCTCCACCGCAGCCTTGGTCTGCTCCGTAAGGGAAACAATCAGGCCTTCCGCCCCAGTAGGCGAGGATAGCCCTCCCAAAGCACCACTCAACAGGGAAACTGCTCCAGCTCGTCCTCTCAAGGGAGTCTGGCTCCGTAGGCTTAGCCTTCGCAGTCGCCACTTCCAACCCATTGAGGGCTTGCGACACCCCTGGCTTCGGAACTTCCTTAGCAGGCGACGGTTCGGAGCTGCTGAACAGCTTCTCCTTCTTTCCCGACAGCTTGCCTCCTCGTTCCTCCACCATGGTGAGAAGGGTCGAGAGGCGCACCTCCCTCTCCTCCTCACCATCCGCGCCATCCACAAGCTCTTGCGCGAACCGCATCTTCAGTTGCCATAGCTGTTCTTCACGGCCAAAGCCCTTGAGACCATCTTGGATCTCAGCCCTCATAAGAAGGAACGCTATCTCAGTCACGTCAACAAACTCACCATTCATGCGAGAAGCAAAGGGCAGCAACACCCGAAACGGTTCCAGCCCCTTGCAAGCTGCAAGCGCTCCACGAGTTCTCGGCTGGGTGACCCAGAGGGGCCCGCTCCAAGCCTCGTCGTCGCGGCCTCCGGCTTTTCTACAAGCAGCTCCTCTTCATCATCTTGTCTCCTAGTTGCCGTTCAGTTTCTGCTACTTCTGCTTCCTGCTCGTCCAGGTCGCGCCAACCAGTTCCATGATACCTCTCCATCATGCTCTTCCAAAAAGTTGACTCCTGCTTACTGGAGACGAACACCGGGTCACCCTTCTTCTTCGCAGGCCTCTTTCCCGGTCCAGCAACCATTGAGTCAGCGGCGGAGGCCAGGGACTAATCCCATCCTCAACCGCCTGCTCAAACGAGACTTCAGTACCACTCACTTCCCGGTCGACGGCAGCCATCTCACTGCTGACTGGCCGCAACATGCAGCTCGATCACGCAGCAACTGGCGAGATTTCCCAGAACAGCCCCCAACTGCGGCGTTCGAATCCCCGTAAGCACTCAGAGGTGAGGTCTCTAGACACAGCGTTGCAGCACGGACGTTGCCGTTTCTCTGCTCACTAGGGCACACGCTCAAAGTTAGGTGAAACGGCTCAAGTAGCGTACGCTTGGGCCAATACGTGAACAGAACTACGCACTCACAAAAAAAAACTATGCAGTTCACACAGCTCACTACGACTGCTACGAAGCAACTACGGAAGCTAGGCCCTCAGTGCCCTCACTCTGTATGTGTCTCTGTCTGGGTCTCTGTGTGTGTGTGTGTGTCTCTGTGTACCTCTCTGTGTGCCTCTCTGCGTGTGTCTGTGTATCTGTGTGCGTGTGCCTCTGTGTGTGTGTGTGTCTCAAGGTGTGTCTCTGTGTGTGTCTCTGTGTGTGTCTCTGTGTGTGTGTGTGTGTGTCCCTGTCTGTCTGTCTCTGTCTGTCTGTCTGTCTCTCTATCTGTCTGTCTGTCTGTCTGTCTCTCTGTCTGTTTCTGTCTGTCTCTGTCTGTCTCTGTCAGTCTCGGTCTGTCTCCGTCTGTCTGCCTGCCTGCCTGCCTGCCTGCCTGCTTGGCTGGCTGGCTGGCTAGCTGTCTGTCTGTCTCTCTCGCTCTCTCTCTCTCTCTCTCTCTCTCTCTCTCTCTATGTCCGTCTGTCCGTCTTTCTGTCTTGCTGTCTCTCTGCCTCTCTGTCTGTCTGTCTGCCTGCCTGCCTGCCTGTCTGTCTCTGTCAGTGTCGGTGTCGGCAGGGAGTCTCATTCTTCGGTCCTGGATGTCTTTCTCAGCAGATCTCGCAAATTACACTCGGACATGAAAGCTCGTATCTCCAGGTGCACGAGATTGCCGAGCGAATGGCGCTACAAAAATTGAAGGAAAGGGAAGATGACAAGCATGGAGGCCACATCCTCAAGAACTTTATAGCTACCAGTAGCTGCAATCCGATGTGGTGATAAGGTTCATTGATCCTGATGAATATCGCACGGCGTAGTTGGTTTTTTGCAATATTTTCAGAATGTTAATTGCAATGTATTCAAGATATTATTTTGCAGGGGCTTGTCAAGCTCGTTCCGAACAGTCTTCATCGGATTTGCAATTGCAGCAGTGTTGGGTGGAGGTGCGACCAATAGAATTGAGCAACCCTTTGAGGATAGGTTAGAGCCCGCATCGCATCTTTACAGTCTTCGCGATTCTACCGTCCCCCAACTTACTCACAGATCTTTGGCAAGCGTTCTTCTTTTTAGGTGTCAGGGAGTTTGATACCCAGAAAAATATGCATGCGAGACAAGAAGCACACCCCCTTGGATTACGGGCAGGATGGACACTGCCCGAGGCCCTGACCCAGTACCCCGAGCATTTTGGAAGCTGCTTCAGTAAATGTTAAGATGATGTTCGCTCCCTTCTCTTATGTTGCTATGCGGCAACAACCGTCTTGAACCCCGCATAGACCGGTACATGATACCACCTTTCCATTCCTTTGTTCAAACGCAAGATCTTCGGCCTATCTGCATCCGTCCAGGCCGAGTTCCTGCAGCCCGCCGGTCCAGCATAAAGTCGAAGAAGAGCCCCGTTCTGAATTTCATCTCGAAAAATTGACTGGAGTTCTTCTAGATTCCAGTAGGGGCACTGTCGAACGCAGGGTGCATGCAGGAAACATCAAGGTTGTGTGCGTGCCGCTATCTGGTCTGGTTTTTCGCGATTTAACTGTTTTCGTGTTGACCTACTCAAAACTTGCGGGACCCAAGACTAGGGGCCCATATGGCAACCCAGGGAAACGAGGGTTTACCGACATGTAACACACAGCGCCTTTGGAATTTATTCTCAGTTGCAGGTGTTGCCTCTTTTGAGATGTAGCTTGCGTGCAACGTGCAAACAGCAACTTTCAGCAGATGAATATCATTGTCGGCGTGACTGAGCATGTCAGATAACATGCCCAGATCATGATTTACTGGCACCGACCCGATGGCCCTGCCTGTAAAAGTTAGTCGCCTGAACGAGGACAATCTCAACAGTGTCGCTCGTTGTGGTGCGGGTGGGACCCACACTGCTTTTGGTCCGAAACTCTTTGACCAGTAGGATTTCGGATGCGGTCAAACACTTTGGCAGTTGTGGTGAGTGGGAGTGTCGAAGCTTCTCGCTTCATGTCTGAAGCGGTGGCATAAATCAAAACCGGGCACGAGCAAATTCATTCTTTTTGTATTGAGTATCATTGAAGTTTAGCAGTCAGCCTGCCAGCTGTTGCGCAAGAGAAAAGTAAAATACAAGCCGCATGCACCATCGCATGTCCATGATGATTTGAAGTTCAGTGAACGAATGTCCCTAGTTATCCGTACATTGAAAGCCCTTGACCCCGCCTGGCTGCAAGGAGCGAGCACTCTGGGGCGGAGCAGAAAAGCAAGGTGCTCAACATCAAGATTTTGCGAAAGTTTCTTCATAGGTGCCCATCAGGCATTACAGGAAGTGAGGAAGGAGTACACGAATGGGTTTACTGCTTGTTTTAGGGATGTGCCTGCAAGTTGAAAGAAGTGGCTGAAAGCCGCGCTGCAGCTCTACAGGCTGATGCTTCCTCTGCTGACTAGGAAACCTGCCATACATGAGTTTGAGCAAGTTAGGGGTTCTACCGGCTTGCCGCTTCTCGGCAACACACACGTTGCTGTGAATGCGGCCAAGGCTCATGTTCTGCCTTTGCTTGTTTCAACAGCACGAGCAGTGTCTTCAAATTGTACACCTGTCTGTCTATGCCGACGGGAAGGACTTGCCCCCGTGGGAACTTGACGATCAAATAAAGGTGGAGGAGCCGTGAGCGGAGAGAGAGGGTACATCAAAAGAGCCCATGCTTGCAGCGAGTCTGGTTCTTCTGCGCCAGGGCTAGTTCGATTCCTGCTCGACTGGCCTGCGGTGATGAGAAAGGCAGAAGTCTTGTGGCGAAGAGTCCCTAACAAAGGCTGGGCCCCTTTGTCTTCGACATAGAGCCAATCAACTTTATTCGGTTGCCGTTACTCACTGCTCCGTGAACACTTCGGCGTGGTGGACTCGTGCGCTCCGCTGCTCCGCCTTCGGCGTTGCTGCTCCGCTGCTCCGCACTCGGGGATAAGTCCGAAAGAACGAGAATGCCCGTTACTCATTAAAACATGCGCCCCATCAGTCCAAGCATTGAAGAGATTTTGGTTTGCGCACCCTCAGTCCACGCGTTGAAGAAAGTTTCTTTTTCAATCCGAAGCGTCCCGTTGGTGCTCGCATACCGCCGTCACTGCAAGCATGAAAGCGAGATATTCAGATGCGTCTACATTCGGTCAGCAGTCAGATGCACTGCCCAAAGACAACACTTTTGATTGACCACTGTTTGTAAAGCCCTGGACCAGGGAGGGCTGGTAACGTGCCAATGCCCTAAGACTCATAGCCCCGCAGCAAGCGCGACGTTCCCATGATGTTTCGAAGCGTTGCTGCTAGCAATTTGGACGTGTCCACCGTCAACATGATGGTAGTAAGAGCTGACGGTGGGACGCTTGCCATATCATGTGGGCAGCAAGAATAGTGATCATTATGCTGGCCATGATCATGGTTCCTAAGCCCTGCTGCGAGGGCTTAAATGCTGTACCTCAACTCAAGCAAACCCTACTGGTTACTGTACGATATAGATTTTCATGCACACATGCCAAGCCGCAATGATGAAATTGGTGGGTAGGAAGAGTCGCATCCCAGAACAGCCGGACGAAAGCTTCCGTAATCCATCGAGGTCCTCCGGGACGGGCAACGTGCTGCAGTAGACCACACTCTGGAATCCCTAAACCCTCAACCCTATCTAGTCCGCTACAAGAGCGGAGCGGAAGTCCAGGCCGCGAGCTTTCCGCAACCTTTCCTCAGGTTCTGCAGACAGCAAAGCCCAACTCGAGAATCTTGATAATTTATCGAAACTATCTGTAGGCTGCTCTGGATGTCTACAAGTCTTTGCAGGCTTGGAGATCTAGGGACCCCGACATCTTAGACTGGTTGTCGTTCAGAGGAGATCAAAGTCCAGAGCGCCATCATGACTGCCCTCGTGCTGGAGAACGCGCGGCCGATCAACCAGCCCATTGTGGACACACTGAGGCTGTGTCGGCCTTACAGAAACCTAGCTGAGGCGACACGAGACCTTCGTCTAGTAGGATGCATTGCAGAAAGCGCCTAGATCCTCCCGGTAGAGATGCCAGTTGCAGACAGAGCTACGACATGCTGCAGATCTGCGCCTTTCTGCGCTAGAGCTCTGAGGTGCAAGGACTTTCAGTTCTGGAACCCGTGTCTTGCTGCAGGAAGTTATGCTTTCCTGTCAATCGTTTGACAAGGTTCCTTGTTAGCTGATACTGTAGTAAGTAGGCGCTCATTACTCAGGCTGTGGTATTCCTGCACAGAGAATTTTTTCTCAGAGGCACGTTCAAGTACAAGTCGTGACAGCCAGAGGCCAGATTGCACTGATTGTGTTTCCGAACAACCCACGAGTGCCAATCTGGATTCGGAAAAGTGAGAGGTTCAGTACTCTGCGTACGTAGGTTTTGCTGCTTGATATAGCGTGTGTCTCGCTTCAAGGAAATTGGAAGAGGAGGGCTGGGCGTGCAAGTCGCACAAAGACCGGGATGCTGGAAAGGTTCGCTGGAACAACTGGCATTTCCGAGGAGGCACCGCAATTGGCACCCCTGGCGCATGAACTGATCGAAATCTTGGGACCTCCATCGGAGGGATGGTAATGACCGCTACTACAGTCGATGCAACCCGGATATCAAGCCAGAAGCAGGGAGCCTACCACAACTGACTTGTTCCTTCTTGGTTTGGGGTTTTGGGGCCTTAGCGCATTGTTGATTTTCTAGAAGGCTATAGGGCATTTGCAAGGGTTCCAGGATGGGGTTCCGTTTAAGAGGGTTCAGGACTTGAGATTTTGTTTTGAGGGGGTTGGGGCTTGCAATTTAGCTTGTACGA